TGGGCCGTATAGGTCCAAGTTTTGGTATAGCCCCCATATTACGGTACCTCCCGATATTCGGTATTTTGATGATTTTATCGACATTATTCACCGGAAATGTTTCAAATTTGGTATTTGAAGTTCGTAATGGATACTACAGCCTATGACGAAAATTTTCGTAAGCAGGTCCCCATAGTCCCTATATAACGGTTTTAACTTAAGTGGTAGTTTTCGGTTTTTTTTTTAATTTTCAAGTTCCATCCAAATGGTGGAGGGTATTGAAAGTTCGGGCCGGCCGAACTTAGCTGGATTTTTACTTGTTTTTGTTTTCACTTATCTACATACATTCTAACCGAGAGTCCAGGATTATTACAGGTATTCGAGTTTAGAAGAGTCATTTCCATTCCAAATCATTTCTGTAGCTGATAGTGAGACTAAGGGTCTGCTTGACATTGCCTTGAAACCTTTCTAATTTTTCTCCAGTTTTTACTATTATTCAAAGCTGAGTGATCTTAATTTACCTTATCAACTTAATCTTATGTAAGATAACTTATTTTTATGCCCTCCACCTTGAAAAGGAGGGTATATTAACTTTGTCATTCCGTTTGTAACATCTCTAAATATTCGTCGTAGGCCCCATATATTCATATTCAGCATAAAATTCTAAGTCGGTATATTATTTAAGGTAGAGCTTCAAAATTTGGCATAACAATTTGTACAGTGTCTAGGATGGTTGGTATTGAAAATGAGATACGTTTTGGTATAACGGCCAATAAAGGTACCTCTCGATATTTGGTAGTTTAATGATTTTAGCCACATTTTCCCACGAATTTGTCTAAAAATTGGTATTTTTAGGCCATAACGGGGTTCTAGCCCTGGTGGCGGAACATTGTATGTATGGGTCCACGTTTTCGTAAAGCGCGGTACATCCCGATATTTGGTACTTTGATGATCTTAACCACATATTTCCACGGATTTGTCTAAAAATTGGCATTTTTAGGTCATGTATCTAGGTCCATGTTTTTCTATAGCGCATATATAAAAGTACCCGCCGATATTCGGTATTTTGATAATCCTAGTCACATTTACCCACGAGATTTTTTCAAATTTGGTATTTAAGACTCGCAATAGATACTAATCGTTGCAATATATAGTTGTCTATAAAGGCATCCGTTTTGGTATAGCCACATATAACGGCTTCACTCACTTTTCACTGCATTATCCAAATGGTCTTACTGGTATATGAAGTTTTAAATGGAACACGCTTGAATTCAGATATTATTATATAAAAATCAGCTTAATATTTTTTATTTGTTCTTCCTGTTCTGCAACCACCGGTCTCTGTCATCGATTTTGCAGAAATAGACTAATGCGCAGGATATGTAGTTGTAATTATTTTTGATCTACTAGTAATGCTGGGAGTATGCAACTGTCATTACTAGTGATGGTGAAACTGGCACAATTGAAGATTCCTAGGTTAAATAAGGTTTGATAAAAAAATAATAAATTTACTGGTCGTCTTGGGACACTTGCCTTGTGCTGCTTATCTGTCATAAACGACCTACTAATTGCAATTGATTACAAATTATCAATTCGTAACTAATACACACATATTGACTTACTGATGTGTGATATATATCGCTAAAACAAGAAAGTGGACTGCGATGTTATTATAATTGTGGTTGAGTTTGCACATTTAAAAATATCCATAATACATGACCTTCAATACATATTCAAAAAGAATTCTGGTTCCCAACATTCTAAAAACCATAATTTCCAAAAAAATGTCTCAGGAATATAATAGTTTCTAAGGGTTTTTTTTACGAATTTCTGTTTTCCCAATGCAACTTGACTGAAGTGCAGATATTCGTAGCCGTAAATCGCAATAAGAGACATTCTTGATACGTTGAGTTATAAAACAACACTGAACAAAAATAAAATAAATGAGAGTATGAAGCTGACAGACATTGTCTGTGAATAGAGCCATATATGAAAATCACCCATAGCTTCATTTATCTTGTGGTGACTAACAACAAGTTTGAAAAAGTGATTCAGTTATCTTGTTTGAGAACAGAAATGCTAAGCTTTTTTCAGTTGTTAACGTTGTTTCTTCTTGACCGTAACACAAATTTTACATTTTGTCGGTTATTTGTGCAAATGAAATAAACAAAAAATAAGCAATGTTTGGCAAATTGAAAGGTATAAAAATATTTGTTAATAAACAATGTTGAGTAATACTTAGAAAATCTTTGCATTTTATGTGACGTAACATAAAACCAGTTGTGACCCAGAAGTGAAAACAAACACACAAAGTTTATTGCATTGGCATCTATGCGGATGTCTTTTGTGGAACATTTTTATCTACGAAACTGGATGCGCAATAATAATTTGCAATCTAAAGAACCCGATGATTGCGTTTTTTAGTTTAAAAAATAGCGATATCGTATTTTATATTCTAAGGCTTGTGATTGGTTTCAAATCAACTTGATTGAAATGTGAAATGTTGTTCCTTATATATGTATATCTTTACTATAAATTGCCAATGTCTTCAAGTATAAATTGCGAATGAATAAAAAGTGAGTTAAAAATTATTTAACACTTTGAATAAGCACAAAATTGGGAAAAGCTAGCAATTATTAGGAAATCTTTTGAAAGACAGGGTGAGATGAAAAAACTGCTACCAGCCGACTGCTGTTAAAATTATTCCAGTGACAGCTGTTCAAAAGCATTTTGGTGAGAATTTTCCAGAAAAAAAGTTATTCGTGATGGAATTCGAACGTGATAGTGTGATTTCTTTATATTTAGCTGGAAAACCACCAGTGGACGATACAGCACTCCAGCATTTAAATGTGAAAAAACTTTTGTGTCTCGTACCATCGCTCGTTACCGTGATACTGTTAGCGTAGGCCGACGTAAAGGAAGTGGACGGAAGTGGACGGAAGAAAACAGCAACATTAGTAGAAATGGTTTGAAAAGTAAAGAAGCGACTTGATCGAAACCCTCGTCGCAGTGGCCGAAAATGGCTCGTGAGCTGAACGTGTCGCAATATTCTATTCGAGAAATATTGAAAAATGAGCTCAGGGTAAAGCCATTGAAATTCCAAAAAGTGCAAGAACTTACACCGCAACAGAAAGAAAGTGGTGAACTGCCGAAATTGGTTTTCTCCGATGAGAAAACATTCGTTGTCCAGCAATTTGTAAACAAACAAAATGATCGTGTTTACTTGCCAAAGATGTAAAATGAAAATGTGCACCTTCGGTTGGCCACCAGAACTCCAGTGCCGGAAATGGTGATGGTATGGGCCGCCATAACAGCCGATGGTCGCGCTCTGCGCTCGTATTAATCGACCGTGGCATCAGAATAAATGCCGAATATTATCGCGAAAATATTCTGGATGGTGTATTAAAGCGTCCGGTACGCAAACATTTTGGCCGCAGACCTTGGACATTCCAACAGGACTCGGCACCATGGCACTCACCCGTGCCACTCAAGAATGGTTGCAAAATGAGGTTCTCGCTTCATTTCCTGCGTACAATGGGCATCAAAATTTCCGGATACCAATCCGTTGTACTATTGTGACTGGAGTATTTTGGAAAGCAAGGTTGGTACTGAAAAAAAACCAAAGTGTCGATCACCTCAAGCAAGTGCTTCGTCGGGAATGGGCCAAAATACCGCAGAGCAACATTCGGGCAGCGTGTGATGGTTTCATTGGTCGTTTGAAGGCCATAATTCGTGCCAAAGGTGACCAATTCGAACAAATCTAAACTTATTCTAAAAATTGATGCTATTTCCTACATTTTTTGCTTTCATTAAATAAAATTAAAAAAAGTAAAAATTATGGCATTTGACTGTTGCTGTTTTTTATCTCACCCTTATAAGAACGTTAAACCCACGAAGTTAGCTTTTATAGCATCATATTTCCGCAAGAATACCGGGCGTATTAATCCGACGTAAGAAGTGAGTAAGAACCTCAATAATCTGCTGGATCGTATATTGGTAAATGTATAGTATGGGGAAATGGATTTATTATACATGGTATAAAATGTTTATGTAATTAACGAAATTATTAAAATCGACTTTTCCCGCTACATAGGGCTATATTTACACGTTGACCTGGTATAATTTGTTATTAGGTAGGCACTAAAAACCAATTCATGTCGATATCTGCACTGGAAGTTGTTTTGGGCAGTTCCATTCCATACAAATTAAATGGATTTCGAGCGCTAACGTAGATCGCGTTCAGATCTGGTAACGTTACACCAGTAACTCAAAAATGTAATCCACATACTACATGTTTTTTTTTTTTTTTGTGGCAGCTACCAAGCGACCACCGCTATTCATTCGCCCAATTTGTCTATTCTATTCATCCATTCGTTCGCCTTTCCTTTGTGTTGGTGTGTGTGTATTTTCACCTAATAACCGTTAACTTTAAGCTGGCTTTAATTATGAATTATTGTTAAATCTTAATTGTATGTTTTTCTTTTTTTGTTATTGTTTTTTTTATATATATTTGTTATGATTTCTTTTGTTGTGTTATTGTTGCTGGCGGCGGCTATGGTTCACTTTGTAAAGTGTTTTTTCTTTGTTTGCCATATAATATATGTATTTACAGTGAGCGCCATTAGATGTTTAGCGAAAACTTTAGATTACCTTGTGCTATCTATAAACAGAGAGATGCAAGTCACCAAATAAGTTTGCTAAGATATTAAAATCGCCAAGATTTTGGCAAATTCCATTTTACCGAATTCGGAATGATGACCCAAAATTGAAACTACTAGTTTACTTTCCGGATACCTCATATGGTATGATTCCATGCCTTTCAATTTATTTGACAGCATGAACTTCACCAGCAATTTGGTGATTCACAAATGGTGTTGTTTTTTATGGAAACCTGTAACAAAGCCTTTCCACGCTCACTGTATGTGCATATAATTGTATTTTATTTAAACAATCTAACATTATTCGCTCACACCAATAACATTTTTATTTTAACTCGTTTGCTCATCTTGTTTCGTTTACAGGAATGTTTACTGGTAAAAGCGGCAGCGGCAGTAACAAAGATACAAAAACAGCAACAAATTGCACCAGTGAAGTTGATAACAAAAATGATGAAGACGAGGAAAAGTGTAGTACGGATTCAACACGACAACAGCGAACAGCAGTTACGGCGGCAGGTATAGACGAATCGACACGCGTCCAACAAAACGATCAAGACGATAATGATGAGTCAATATCGTCATCGAATGGCGGTACTACTATGACAACGTCAGCTAGGCAATCGTTGGCTTTTACAATTGACAATTTCAACGATAAGGAATGTGATGCTGCCGCACAGGCGGCAAAATACAAAAGTATGATGGAACGTTTTCAAAATCGGCATCGTCGCGGTGCCTCCATGTCAAAATTGGAGAACGATGAGTCAGGCAAAGCTCAGACACCTACACGCCTAACAAGCTCACAGTCTTCAACGCCGTTAACAAACACCAGATCATCTGCCCGTAGCTCGGTGACAAGTGAAGAAAACAATGCAAATTCATTGGACTCGGACGCGTCTGCCCCACAAAAGGTAAATATTTGCAAACAAATTAATATGTTTATGCGAAAGGTGTTTTTCAATCGACCCCTCTAAATGGTGCGTACCCAAAACAGGTTGATGAGTAATGATGTGTTGTGTTGATGTGTTTATCTTTCAACAATGGGGGCTGTGCTAAGCCGGAATAAAGAGGTGATTAAATTTGCAAGTTTGAAAGCATTTGAAAATGTTTTTAATTCTCTTCTCTATAGTGTACAGAGAAATAGGGTTTAAACGTAAAACTGGATTTTGAGAAGATATGTCAATAGCTAGAATAACGCTCAAAGCTAAACTAAAAACTTTCTTTTGACCACCCATTTGACTTAGCTTAGATGAAGTCATCATCTTCAGTTTTTCAATTTAAATATTCAAATAATCGAAGCTATAGATTTGCAAATATTCTCCATTTTAGTAGAGATTAGTTATTGTTTTGTTTTCAAGGTGCTAACTGTATATTTGACAGAATATAGATTTTCTAAAAAAAACTAATGGAATATTCCAAAAAGGTTTGTCAATTCAAATCTAGTCGTCGGTTCAATAAGTAATGACGAAGAATATTCTTAAAATATAGCATAATTATATGTTCGTTAAACAATTTTCAAATACGTCATTCTGTGATCTTCATAGTCAGGAATTATAAATGGAACAACATTGCTACGATATTGTAGAAATTTGCCTCGGAGAAAGGTTTTAGAGCTTGGAAACTCTGCTCTCTCGCAACTCCGGCTCATTTGTAAAACAGATTCAAGTGGCGGCACAGCAAATCTTTGAATGTTTTCTTTTTGTTTCTGCTTTGCTATTACGGAGCCTTTAAACATAGTAAAGACGTTGTACCCCTTTTAGATGTTGTTGGCTATATTGTCTTATGGTCCTACAATCAGCCTTATAAAAAACTGTTAAGGTAGATTGTTGTGAGTCCACCAAGGAAAGGTAGTGTAAATGTGACAGTTGTCTTTCGATTTTAGATGGGCTTACACTCTAACCATATATCCTCAAAAAATCCTTTATCGTTATAAGTTGTTATACAAGAATTTTATTATAGACGCTTCATCAAATTTTACTAATCGGACATATTTTTTTTTAATTTTAAAAAGAATTGATTTGGGTCAAGATTTATTAAAGGTCGGCCAGTAAGCCCATCTGCCTACCAATTTTGCTGTCAAAAATACATAATTGTGAAAGAGATAGTCAAGCGCAATATTTTATAAACTGCATGGTTTATTGTCAATTGGTCAAAAGCAGTCTTTTGTCCGACATATAGGCGTTGGTTTGGGCTTTTTGGCATATTTTGCCTATGGCTACCAGTTTGAGAAAATAGTAGAACATATCAAAAGTGTACAAAAAAATCTGAATACAGATCGATGAGTAATAATTCGAGTCGGGCAGTAGACTATTTGTATCTTTGGAAAGTTATTTCAATTAGTAATTAGTTTGATTTTGAAAATTCCAATAAATCATAAACTACTTTCTATCATTGTGTTATTAACATCCAATCTAGATTAAAAAAACAAAAAAACAATTTTCTAATTCATTTTCATATACGTATTTTAGGTTAAACTGCGAGTGCGTGATCGCAGCACATCGCGTGTACGCGATGCCTCAAAGCGCCACAGCTGGTCGCCACGTTCAAGCACAAATGAAAATACTCTCCAAACTCCTCAGTCGCAGACATCAACAACGGCCACTTCAGCTAACTCAACAGCACTTCCACGTAAAACCACCACAAAAACTGCAAACAAACCGGCCCCAACACAAGTTCCCAAAGGTGCTGCCAATCTTGTGGCTAATCGTACTCAGTTTACACCACGATCTACTGCCATGCAATTGGCTTTGAAGCAAATTGATTATATGTGTCCACAACCGCCACTGGCCGACTTTAAGCATCTAAATGCCGATGCCGATGATGTCAGTGAAGCTGGCACGTATACCTTGGACGGTGATAATTATACTGAAGAACAAAAGGATATTATGAACATAGATAAATATGGCCAAAGCACGCTTCCAACAACAACTACAAATAAATGCCGTCCTAAAGAACTTGATGCCATTACTCCTACACCGAAACAACGACAAAGTATAGAATCGAAAAGATCCAACAATGTATTGGAGGTAAACTATTATCATGATGCTGAAGGTCCGGAACAGATGACGAAGGCACGCACAAATACAGCACCCTCGGATCTTATAATGGGTTCACATCAATCAGCCGGAGCTTATTTGGAGAAGATCAAATCAAGAGTGTTGCGCAACATGAACGCCACTAAGCAAATTGCCGATACTAAGCAGGAAATATTGAAACCTAAGTTATCCAATGATGACGATGACAGTGAAGTTGATACCGGTTGTTTTACCAGTGTAACAACTAGTGGCGTCTTGGCTAAACAAAGAACCCTGGATGCCCATCCCAAACTGTCAAGACACAGCGGATTGTCCACATCCCAAATTGATAGTTCCGAATATGTGAGCAATGAAACAAAACTGAAAACTTCTGGAACGCCACCCTCATTTGCTAGTGGATACACCGATCATCAAAAAGCTGAATATCGTCTTAATGTCTTTACTAATCAAAAGGATGCATCACAAAAATTCGCCGCTACAAGAAATCTAATTGAAACGCCACCGGAGACACCAACAGGACCCCAACCTACTTCTAAGTTAAGTGAGGTTGCTGTTTTACAGACAGCGCAAACGAAACATGACTGGATACAGGAATGGGCTCGTAACGCTCGGGCGAGAAGCTTGGCAAATGACCGACACAGTACTGGGGCGAGACAATCTAACAACGATATGTTGATGACTCGATCATACACCTGTGCCGACACAGGCAATGACTCACTTACAGATGACAGTCTTTATAGTGCAAATTGTAAACAGTTTAATGCTAAGCTGAATCGCACTTTGGCGGATCGTTATCGCATATCAGGTGGTAATGGTGACTGTGATTATGCCAGCGATCCTTCCCTGGCAAGTTCTTGTACAAAGCCACCTAAAAGTCCAACAAAGATTCCATCGCCGCTCCATACATTGGGCCGAGCTCGCAGTGCCAGTCGCACAAGAGCATCCTTGCAAAATGTTATGCCTCCAGACGAAGAAGATTATTTGCAGCAAACAGCTGCAGCCATAAATAACTTGCAACAAAGTCTGTCACGGAAAAATTCTCTTAAGTCGCCCTCCCATTCAGGTTCACCTCGTGCCCATTCCGCACGTTCACATATCATGTATTCCCCTGAAGGTACTGGTGTTGAGTGCAGTCCTCAACACAGTCTTAATTCACAACGACAGCAACGCCAAGCCACACAGAATTTGATGACGAGCAGTATTAATGAGCAGCAGTTGCAATTGTTGACTAGTGGAGAATATCTGCTGCGACAGATGCGTATGCGTAAGAACTCCTTTGATGGCAACCTTAACGGTTCGCCACATCGGAGAGTCTTGCAAGCTGGTGTTCCGCCACAAGTACAGTCGCCGACTACTCCAACTGCTCCGACAAACGAGGAATCACTATCGCCACTACGAAGATCAAGTTCTTTCTCGGCTCGAGTGGCAGCCACTCAAAAGTCAGGTCGTCCCAACTTCCAGAACTTGTACACTCCTCCAGCGGCTCGCCATAGTTATGGTCTTAGTCCAGCACCACCACAACAAACCTCCATTCAGCCAGGGAATCCTATTAAGAAATCGGCCAGTAGCAACAATTTTGGTCAAGCCTACAGTGATTATGACGACAACTTACAGTATTACATTAACGACGAAGATGACCAGGATGATATGGGTGAGGAATACTATTCTAGTGGTGGAGATGATAATATAGAACAGGAACCAGGTTATTATGACGATGCAGAACCAGAAAACAATGTCCCTTTGTCAAATACTAGATACAATAAGGCTTTGTTAATGCGTATTGAGCGCAGCAAGCAAAAAGTTGCGGGCAAACCTCAATCCGCACCTCCTACAAAGCCATCTATGTTACTGGCTGGAGGTGGCGTTATGGCATGTCCTAATACTCCGGAGTTACCTCGAAGAAATGTTAAAAGCGCAACCACTCGGTCTACTATGGCCTCACAACGTCAGTCCATGCCACGAGATACTAGTCTTAGTCGCCTAGCACAACAGGTGCCCAACTCATTGGCTTCAGCCAAGAAACAACTATTACAAACTGCTGCCAATGTACCATCATCCACTGCTACAACGCAACGTTCCACATCTAGTCAACGGGCCACGCCACGCTATTTAGATATTTCGAAATACAAACCCGCCCAAAGTAATCATTTCTTACGTAAAAATGATGCCAAAAGTACTCTTAAGCCACAAACAAATTCGAATGAAATTATGAAACGTAGTCCTAGCAGTTCGTCGATGGGCCTTTCGCGTACTGATCCCTCTAGGACCAGTAATCGCTCAGTACGTTCGGCCAGTTCTGCAATGACCAGTAGTGTAACCTCACTGGGAGGTAGTAATGCCAGAGCTTCTTCGGCAGTTAGAAGAGATGCCTCAGGTAAGGAAAAATCTTATATTAAACCAATAGCTTAATCAAATGAAGTCCTTTTTTAGTATCTAAACAAAAGGAAGCCGAAATGGCAATGTGGAAACGTAGATCCAAATATGATCCCATGAAAGCTGCTGCCGAAGATCGACGTAAAAAAGAAGAAGCTAAACGTTTGGCTCAAGCTCAACAAATGGGCGTTGTTGGTATGCCAACTGAGAGGTAAGCGTTTCCTCCTTGATTCGTATATTTGTATTTGTTTGTTGATTGGTTTTATAGTATTTGTCTATTTAGGAGTTAAAGCTAGAACCATTTATAAAATTACTTTTCCAAAAGATTTCATAATAATGGTTTTGGTTTAACTAACTGTAACTAAAAAAAATACAAATTGGTTTAACTTATGAGATAGGAGGGATATTACACTATAAACAAATATATTTAACATCGATCTAGCAAACAATTGAATTGAAGGTTTTTTGTCAACAAAATAAACTTATGGTTAATATTGTGTATATTCAATGTATATTTTGATAAGTTTCTTGCAAAATTTTAATCGAGATCTAAATAAAGCATTACCCAATTTGCATTATCAAAAAACAAAGGATTTAAGTTTTACAAATTCAAATGCTTGTGCTTATAATTTTACTTAAGGGTTAATATTAATAAAGTATAACATAAGGAAATTAAATTTGCATGTCAATGTTTTAAGTACACTTTTTTAAAAATATTATTAAATACAATGTTTAGACTCGAAAATTTTTTAGAAATAATGGACTTTAGTGAGGCTGTCTTGTTGGGCTATCTTGTTGTACAAGGAAGGTTCTCCCGATAGCGCAGCTACAGTAATAATAATAATTTATGCTGAGAATAGAATCAGTTCAAAATCATTAAGCGGCGGTAAATTTTGTTACAAATTCTCTTCCTGTAAAATTGCAAATACAATTTTTACTTCGGATTTCTTTGACATCCGCTTCATTCGGAGATCGTTAGCCCATTGTGTTTATATCTTATAGACAAGAAATATAGAATGGAAAAGAAAATTATGCCGCGAAGAGAAAGGAGGAAGATAAAATGAAAAACAGTACACAACATGGAGGTGGATGGTCTACCCCATAGTCATGTTCGATTCTTAGAGAAGTTGACAAGGGCTACAGAATTCAAGCACAAAGGAACTCAGTATCCTATGTATCCGTCTGTCAAATTCGATATCATCCTTCACCAGTGCTTATTCCTAAAAATTTTTATCTCAGAGTTACTGAGAGAGATCTGAGTGAAGTTTCTTGCTACATCGACACAGTGTACCTATGTTAATCATGTCACATACTCGCGGCTTCATTTATTGACTTGAGCTATCTCATCTGCCATTTAACACTGGCTGATAATCATGAACAATCATGATTCATACCGTCACGTCCGTTTTTTATCATTCTACAGTCTTTATTATAGCAAAGATCTCTGTTTACAGGGCGCTAAAATTATTATTTAAACTGAAGCTTGTTTCTGACAGTAAACCACACCATCATTTCCTTTGCCCATTTTTTTTAAACCGATCGTAAAAATGGCAAGACGTTTAGGATCAGGGAAATTAATATACTATTTAACCCCTTTAAAATGCTCACACCAATTTTATGACTGACCCGCTGCAGGTATGTCAATAAAGTGTACTTCTTCTTCTTGATCTTCTTGATGAAATTAGATAAATTTGATTTTTTTCGGCTGTTAGAAAACTGACGATAATTGTTATAATTTAATACTTTGTTTTTCTACAATAGGCTGAGTAAAGCGAGTTTCGACTGTTAGAAAACTTACGATAATTGGTTTAATTTAATACTTTGTTTTTCTACAATAGGTTATTCCGTTACTATTGGACTAGACTATTTAATAGAATATATATTTGTCTAGAATAAATCAGTTTATATTTTATTAGGAATACTCTAAACACACAAATATATCTATATGCAATCTATTAATTAAAAATTGTTTATTTTACATAAATCTATTACATTACACATATAGGCTAACAATTCTTAAAATTAGACTTCGTGGGAAACGATGATTGTTAAGAAAACATGTTATTAATTTTATTTCGTGGTAAATGTTTAATAACTTTTTTTGGTACTTATATTTTTTACAATATTACCAAGCCTCAAACCCCAATAAATTATATTTAGCACATCAATTAAAACATAACAGAATCTTCTTATATATTATTATTGTGCGCTAGATCGAAGACAGATTAAGTAGAGTTGTATTTGTTTTTTAATATTGGTACGTTTTCTTTTTTTTTGTTATAAATGAAACTGTTGTATGGTAACCTTTGAATTGTTGTTTTAATATTTCTTTTTAATATAATTTATATAATTTATTTCTTTTTTCTTCTCTTTTCCTATTTTGTTTTTGATTTACAACAAAATATATGATTTTTACCAACTTGTATTTCACTACACCAACGTCACCACAACCACAAACCAACAAAAACACATTAAATTATTTTGTTTTAAATATTATCATTGTTATTGTATTACTGTTGTCGTTATTACATTTTTATAGACAATCGAGGTCTCTTTACCGTCGAGGGCAATTATGACCGGAGGGGTTGCTTGTGACAGATCTCTAAACAGATCCTCTGAGATTTGTAACGAAATTATACACGATCTTTGAATAAAATAAAAACCATGAGTTCTTATAGTCGTCGATGTCTTCTGTCAACGACTACGATCAAGATATTACAGAACACACAAACAAAAAAATATATAGACCATGTACTAACATCGAAATACGAAATGAAAACATATAAAGCCCCATTTTATATTATGAACAAAAAAATTAAATAACGAAACGGTGATTGTAACACTAAATGCATACAATGTTGAAAAATATAAACTAAAAAAATCATGGTATACGGTTTAGTGTTTTACTAATTAACCACTTTAATTAAAATCAAGTAAAAAAAATATAAAATACAAGTCATACTTATGTAGAACGTAAATAGACAAAGTGCAATTACAATATATATAATCAAAATATATATGATTTGGTAAAAACGACGCCTACGACGAATACGTACAACGACAGACATTTATACTTGGCAGACCATATGTCTCTGCCAATTACCGCGTCCCACAATGACAACGTATCGAATATAAAAGTAACTATTAATGCATTTTATTTATTTTTCTATGTTTTGTTTTCGTTTTGTGATTTTGTTTGATTTCAATTTGAATGTTAATGGCATTTTGAGAAACTTTAACCTTTTGTTATTGTTTCAACGACTATTGTTCAATCCAAAAAGTTCATTTCATTTTGTACAGACAGCTTAAGGTCTTCATTATGTCACCGCTTTTATTAATTGCTCATCTAAATTTCATTCTTATAATAAAATGAATAATAATTCACCATTTAATAAAAAAAAAAACAACTATAATAAGTAGATGTTGAAAGTTGTGATGTCATACATACATTTGTATATATACGCTTTAGTTAGTTATAATGATGAAAAAAACTTCATATAAAATGTTAACAAAAATGAGTTGTTAAATTTGTCAGATATTTCACTGTTCAATATTTAATTATTGCTTATCTTATCTATTTTCAGAAAATGTAATATCGAACATTATCATTTGTGAATTTCATAAAATTTCATTTAACATGCTCCTAACCACATAATAAAAAACTGGGTTTACCGAATAGCGATAGCAATAACTTCAAGCTAAAGCTTCTTAAATAGTTCTTCTTAACAGCGAAGATGGAAATAAGAAATAGGACTTGACTATACTATAGCCAAATTACACAACACGGCCAAATGTGTCCCATGACCATGTTATTATGTTTTGGAAATATTGTTCCATAAACTTGAAATATAAATTTTGTATCATTAGGTAAGACCGAAAGATCAGTACACCTTCTCTCAGATAGTCTATGCGCTCGATCGTTTGTTTTTACCGAAAAACTTCGTAGAGTAACAGTACAGTACCCAATATTTCTCTCCTCCCATTTTCAAATCGTTAATCTTATGCAATCTGTTTTTGCTATAGGAGAGTATATAAAAAATTTAAGTGCAGCTAGTACCGACAAGATTCACCTTGATACCTTATACACATTCATTATTCTATATCGGTTTCGATTTTTCGCAATAGAACAAGTTTTCAATTGCATGACTGTGGTTGAGCACTGTTCTTCTCGGTTCACGTCGAGAATTGGTATTCCGGTGCACAACAAAATTTTAACGACCAAACCCAGCAAATGCTTCCATTGCAAAATAATGGGGTTTCTAATCAATTTTTGGCAATCGTAACTACTTACAAATCAATCAAATCATTTTTATCTTGTATGTTGTTAAAAAATAAATAGCTACTTTTGGCCACTGCTTCTGGTATTAAACTCGCAATCTTATAATTTCTAGAAAAAAAACTAATACGCCAAGGTTACGAAAATTCAAGGTAGTTCAAGTCTTAAATCTACATCAACAAGCGTTCGTATTTTTTCGTTTATCGACGCTGAGCTTCAAACTCCTAACATTCGGTTTTGTAGCCGAACGGGCACACCTATTTTTTGATAGGTATTAATGTTTGATAGGTATTAATATTTTGTTTACATACACCGATGCTACCATGGTACAATAAAAAGGTTAGGCAATGCTACCAGTTGATTAAATTTTTTTCTCTGCCAATTGTGTATATGTTTTTATTGTTTTGAAAAACAAAGAAATTTCAAAATAAATGGTTGGAAGAAACGTATATTAGGTGTGTCTGGTTACTTTTCCTGCAGGAATTGTCCAGTAACTTCTTTCTGAGAGAGTAAGGTAGTTTTATTCTCTTTTGCAAGGAAAATGCGAAAAGTAAACAGACGGTATTCCTGCAGAAGCTTGCAACTAATCAGCTGATCAAATCAAAACAAACCAATTTGTCCCCCATAAGGAGAATTAAAACAAAGGAAGCAATACTAATTTTACAAGTTTTTTTAAATAAAAATGTTGGAAATTGTCTTTTATTTTCTTATTACATATTAACATTTACGTTTTTCACATTTTGTAAAGTTTTTCTCCAAAAACTATTAGTCTTGCTAATTCCAAAAAAATATTTTCAAATTGAAAGCACAAAAATAAATAAACAAACAATAGAAAACATCTGATTGAATGTCGATAAATGAGAAGAAGAAGAAGAGTTGCAAGTGATTGCAAGAAGAAATTTTTCCAGCAAGAATTTGCAAACTCTCACTGTCAAAATTTCTCTCTCCAACCGCTCTCTTTTGCAGAACTTTTGGGTTAACAGACGACTTCCAGTAACAATTTGTAACAATTGTTACAAATTTTAGGGTAACCAGACACACCTATTGCGGTACGAGCATTAATAATATTAATCAGCTTTGCCATGAAGTTGAAAGATTGAACATTTAGAATCATATTTTCGAAAGAAAATTCAGGTCTTTCATTCTTCTTTCGCGCCATTTAACTCGTTTTAAAAAATAGAGAAAAATATCAATTAAATGAAAAAAACATGTTGCATCTAATTTTGAATAATTGTGACAGCTTCAGAGCTGTATTTTTGTAGTTTTACGAAGCTGTTCTACCTCCTTATTGTGCCATAGGTGCTACCATCCATCAATTGAGAATTAGCCAATTTAATGTTTTGTCGAAAAGATTTTGATAGTTCAATAAATTTTTAAAAATTAAATTTAATCTATACTAGAATCTTGGAAATCTTGCCACTTACCCATTGTATGCCGGTAATACAGCTATACTGAACATTGACCACCCCCATACTGTATAAATATAAACGTTGATTTCCGATCAAAAAATGCTTCTTTAGAATTTAGCAACAATTACAATAATTTAAACAAGTTAAAATTAAATAATATTTTCAAACTTCGAAATAAGACACATTTAACAGCTCATGAAAAATAATGTAGATTTTGGGCGTTAAAGCTATTAACAAGGTTTCATTTAAAATCATATCATAACATCGATTGTTTTGGCTTTTTACCAATACCAAGTTTTTCCAAGCAAAGATATTCGTGCAACACTGCGCGTTCACATTATACAACTGCTTATAAATGCTAAGTCGGCTATACAAATAATAATGGGAATTATAGAACATCACTAACACAACATTAAAACATCATAACACACTCATATAAATATGGAAAAAGGATCATTTATAAAGAAAATAGAAATGTGTGCATCATTCCGAGAAACAGTAGAAACATTAACCTACGACATAAGTGCACCATTATTCACAATATATTAATACTTAACTTAACATTTGTTTATGTGCCATGTTCTATTTTAACATATTGAGAATGTATGGATGACAAAACCAATAGAGCTGCTTAAATGCTGCACCCTATCTAGCATGTTATGATTGTAACTAATTTGTCTTAATTTATTTTTTTCTTCTTTTTTCGTTTCTTTTTCCACAATTTTCAGCGAACGATCCTTGGAACAGCAATGGTCTATAGAAGAATCTGGAGATTATGATGAGGATGAATGTGTCTAAGCGAGGGCTCCTGGACGCTTATTTCAGACATCAGAAACCTAACTAAAAATTCCTGTAATATTTTTAAATATAATGCTTTATATTTTGGAAATGAAAAAGCTTAGAGTAAGACTTTTTTGTTTTGTATAACATAAGAAAGAGAAGAAACAAATATACAACGTGATATAGCTTACCTTAAACAATGAATGGAAATTAGAAAACCAGAAACAAACGTTCAGTGACCGATCGGTCAAACGTTGAACATTACACAATGATGAGGATTAGGATTTGTATGATTACATTTTATGCAAACAACTAGCGTAGAATATACAGAAATATATATTGTTAAATGGAGGAAAGCACATTTGTCCTATTCTACTGTTACTAACAAACAAAACATAAAATTATATTCGATAGAAAGTCGTTTTTGTATAATTTTAACTTCATCTATGTATATTTTTATATGAATATTAAACATGTATTTTATTTATATATAAATCTAGATTATTTACGCATTCGTTTGTGTAGAACGAATACCTAGCAGAGAACTATTCTCGATTTAGTTATGGTGATTTCAAATTTGAATTTGTAATTTGTTGAACATTATTTGATACCTTTCTCTATATTATCATCATCACAGCAATGCTTAACTATAAAATTATAACAGAATTTTAGCTTATAAATGCAACTGTATTGCTTAGATATTAAACAAAGAAATTGAAGAAAGATTATCGTATATTTTTAACAATTTTGTATTGTTAAAACAAAATTAATAGAACTGAACAATGCGTTGTAACGTGTTATACTTTTCTGAAAGCAAAAGCAAAAACAAAACAAAAAACGCCCCAAATAATGTTGTGAAATCAATTTTAATTTAGATTTATATATTTTTAGTTACTCTATTCTCTATATAAATTAATTTTATTAAAATTTATCCTTAAATGGTACTAATACTCAAAAATAAAATAATTTAATAATAATTACAAAAAATATCAAGATATCTTACCGTATATGAAAAATATTGAAAATCAAACCAACTGTATTTTCCCGAAGAACGTAAAATTGTAGAGTCTGAACAAGATTTGAGTTTTATTTTAAATAAATAAATGGAATTGTGAGAAATGTTTGATAATTTCTTACATTGTGCTGAATAACCCACTCAAATGGGTATTACCAAAATAATAACGGGATCACTGGAAATGTTTAATTCATAACTAGAGAAAATGAAATAAATTATATAACAAAAAGTAGAAACATTTACTGAATTGACTTGTTTATTTAATTATTTCTTTTTGGTTAACTATTGTATTCTTCAAACAAAAAGCATTAAAAAAGTAAATAAAGCGGAGTAATTGCTTTTAGCTGTCGGGAAAACGTTTGTTTATAAAATCTCTACTATTACTATTACGCTTCGACGGCGTAATGCTTTTGAAAAAAACTCTAAAATATCAAGTAATCAAAATGCTCTCTATTCGAGAAAAGCTCAAAAAAGTTGAGCCTAAAACAAATACAATGATTTTTGTCATGCCTTACGCGCTGAACAAAAACATCAATGTCAGTATGTTGGGTGATAATGTGTGTTACGGAAATTTTAATCTAATTTTCGTCAATGCACACAGCGTAGTATTCTCCTATTCTTGACATGCCAACAACCAATTTTACTTTCACATCGGCCCCTCCTATCTCAAGCGCAAATCCCACGCAGATGTAATCTAAAATATCTTCGAATGACACCATGAAAGCTCGGAGTGGGAATAAAAGAGTTTTTTTTTTTTTTTAATAATATGGCAAACCAAAATGCACCGACTGCAACTCAAATGATAAGAAATACAGGGATTGCGTTGAAAACTACAGAAAATTTTCGATTTATATGCATGTAAAAAGCAAGAAATTCACTTACAAGCCGGGTAGTTTCCCAGATTTGAATATGGGTTTCTAGAACTTACATAGGATTATATATACTGTAGCAATACACTGTCTATATAGGATTTAAAACACATTTTCTAACGGAATTACTTAAAATTCAGATTATGGATTCCATAATGGGTTCTTCTGTTTATATCGAACAATTTCTATACAAGTCAACGTTTTTTTATATATACTCCCGATATTCGGTATTTTGATGACTGAAGTCGAATTTTTTAAAGAAATGTTTGAAATATGGATTGGATGTTCCTAATAGCAGAAGTGTCCATACCCCTTGAATACTGGAATTGCGGCATATGTCTGTATTGTTTTATGAGTTACTTTCTAAATTGTGTGACCTATATAGGCAATGTTCTGCCACAGAAGGTGGAAAATATTTTGAAGAAATTAAACTATTCTCTTAGAAAGTGTGGCTAAAATCGTCAAAATATCGAATATCGAGAGATACCTTAAAATGGGGGCTTATTCTTAAACCTTAATCGACAATATTGTGCCACAGAAAGTAGATCCAAAATATTAAATTTTTCTGTTTAAAAATGTGACTATAGTCAAACTTGCGGATATCCGAAGGAACAATTATATGGGGACTGTTTTCCTACAGTGGATGTATAAAGACAACGTTCTGCCGCAGAAAGTAGACCCCAATATAAACTCTAAATACTATGTGTGTGGAGGGTATAAAAATTTCTTTAAATAACATGACCAAAGATTTCAAAATTAAATTAAGTGGTGCTGGTGGTTTTAATTCCGTATTTAACTTGGATTTTGCGAGTGAAATTGTGTTTTTATGGGAACTTGTAACTTTAAAACATATTAAAATAATAAAAACGTTGTTTTAATAACAAACCACAAAGAAAATAAAAAATAAATTTATATTTTTTTATATTTTTATTTAAAATAATTAGCAAATTTTAATTGTTTCTCAATTGACTAAGTCAATTATTAACAAAGTGTTGTCACTTCATTTTTTATACTCTCAGCCACAGGCTACAAAGGGTATATATCATTTGATACAGCCAAAACGTGCCTCATCGAAATAACGGTTTTAGACCCTAGAACTCTTTGGAACAAATCCGTTTCAGGACACTTGGAGTCGATCTAGGGTTGTCCATCCCTCTGGCTGGTGGGCACGATATTTCTCGAAGATAGTAACCGATTTGGTCCAAACTTGGTACATCGTAAGATTATTGTCAAACTTAGATCGAGTTCGGAGATTAACAGTATCGGTCCACTCCTTTTCGTACTTCCCCCACAATGGGTGTAAATTTTCAAAGAGAATAATTTACCTCATAGAAAGAAAAAGGATCATTATATTTATTGTACAAACTATGCAAGTCCCAATATTGGAATCAGTGCTAGGTTATGTGCAAAAATGGACAATATCGGCACACTCCATCTAGTACCTCCACCACAAAGAGTAAAATATTGGAATAATTATAACTCTTATAAAAGCTAAAAAAGTTCGATTGTCTTCAAATTCCACACGTCCCAATACTGAAACTAACCATATCTGGTGTGGGACAACATTTGAAATAACATAAGATGATGTAAAGTTGGAATATATTGGTTCTTCCCTTCTGGTACCTCCCCTCAAAATGTTATAATTTCCAATTCTTATATCTCTCATAACTTGCGAAACATGTTAGTGATTGTTTTCAAACTTGGTAAACTAAGTGTTTCTATCAAGCAGAGATGGTATTTATCGACCCACTCCTTGTGGTACCTCCCTCTCAAAAGATTGGAATTTTGATTGACAACTACTCGTATAAAACTTAAACACTTCGGTCCCCTATATCCTGTACCTCAAGCACATTTCAAAAATTTCCAAAAATGTTCTCACATAAAGTGAAGGAAGTATTGAATATAGTCAAAATCAGACACGTTGTAATAATTATATCAGACTTAGATACGAAATGAACAATATAGGCTTAAGGTTTAACGGTTTGAGGAATCAAAACGCAATTCAAAATATGTTTAAATAAACGAACATTGCCTGACGGTATGCATCTGTCGGCAATACCGACGTATACTTTCTAAATTGTTTTCTTGAAAACCCGTTTTTTCTTCCAACAAAAATTATATATTTATGAAAACTAAACAATGTATCATTACGAATTGAAGCAAATTAAAAAAAAAAAAATCAAAAAAGTCTTTTTGTGCAAAATTACAAATATTTTGAAATGTTAATTAGCGTTTTAATCATTTAGGAACAAGCACAGGCATTTTTTATAATTTAAAACGAAACTTGTTATAAAAATGTCTACACTGCACTTCCTCTGGTGTATTTTTCAGTATTGTGTTCATTACTTTGCACCTCTGTTTCTGAATCAATCAAAACTCCCGGCAATGTGTAAAAATTAATTTCTTTTCGCACCAAAACACAGAATATTTTTCAAAATTTACACCTCAACAATGTTTTTTATTTATTAATTATTTTCTAGAAATATAAAGAACAGTGACGGTCATTCTTCTTATATAATGTGCTTTAAACAAATTTACAATTAATTTGGAACATAATAAAAATCATAATTTTTATACCAGAAGTCGCTTTGCTTTAACATTTAACATTACTTAATTTGAATTGCTTTATTGTCAATGCAAAATATAAACACCGTAAAATATGCTTTACATTTAAATACATATAGAATGATAATAAATATATCTCATTATATTTTTCCCCTATAGAAATTTCTAATAATACAATTTTGTTGCGTTTGAAAAAGTTTCTCGCTTAATATTTATTAAAATATCTCTTGCTATTTTTTTTTAAATATCAAAGATTTGTAGCATACAATTGTTTCGTGTTCCACATATTTCTCGCAAGTTAGCGATTGTCTATGAAATGTTTAACCCCTAAAGTATGCTTCAAATTCATTTTCTCAGCATTGCCAACAGCGTTGCCATTCATACATTAATATTCTTACTAACACAGGACAATAAGATTAAAAATCAGTTTCTAGAAAAATAGTTACAAATTTTTAGCTATATCTAGTTCACCATCGTATGTTTTTAAAACAGTGGTCAAATTCTAGCATTCAATATCTATCAAACTTCGACTGCCCATATAATCTTAAGTTGTTGGTACGAATATTCGCGACAGAAAAAAAAGAAAAGGTACGACGCATATACACGTCATTTCCCAACAATGTCGTCGTCCCGTGACAGTGGTTGAGTGCTCGATGTAAAGGGCGGTGCAGTTAAACACAAATTCAACACTAATGAACAACTCTGTATTATACCCTCCACCTTGGAAAAGAGGTTATATTAACTTTGTCATTCCGTTTGTAATATTAAATATTAAAATATTCGTCAAAGACCCCATAAAGTATATATATTCATAATCAACATAACATTTTAAGTCGATTTAACGATGTCCCTGTGTCTGTCTGTTGAAATCACAGTACAGCCCACATTATTTGAAGTAGAGCGTCAAAATTTAGCAGAACAATTTGTATTGTGGATGGTTGGTATTGAAAATGAGATATATCGGTCCATGGTCCATCGATATATAGTCCCCATATAACGGTATCTCCCGCTTTTCGGTATTTTCATGATTTTGTCAAAATTTTTTCCACGGATTTGTCTAAAAATTTTTATTTTTTGGTCATAATGGGTTCTAGCTTGCATGCATAGGTCCACATTTTGGTATAGCCCCCATATAATGGTACCTCCCGGTATTCGGTGTTTTAATGATTCTTGTCACATTTTTAACGGATTTGCCCAGAAATTGGTATTTGTAGTTTATAATGGGTTCTAGCTAGTTCTAGCTAGCTAGTTTTGGTATAGCCCCCATATAACGGTACCTACCGATATTCGATATGTTGATGATTTTTGCCACATTTCCCACGGATTTGTCTAAAAATTGGTATTTGTAGTTCATAATGGGTTTTACCCCGGTCGCAGAACATTGTATATTTAGTTCCACATTTTCCTATAGCGCACATATTACGATACCCACCGATATTGGTTTTTTGATAATCCTAGTCACTTTTACGCACATAAAACAAATTGGTATGGCCTCATATAACGGTCACATTCACTTTATGGTTTTTTGATAAGTTTAACTGCATTATCCAAACGGACTTACTGGTATATGAATTTTAAAGAATTCAGGAGGGCATTAAAAATTTGTTTGTATAAAATAGTTTATTTATTAGTGGAGAGAGATGGAAATGTTTATGAGTGCGATTGTAAGG